TTCATAGGTGTCTTTTCCTTTTGTTGTTCCATAAAGACGACAAATATCAAATAACTCCTCTTTACTGGTAAAATCATCAAAAGTAGTTTGCACAAATATTAGCAGCTGACAAACATCGGTTTGATCAGTGCTTTCATCCAAACAAAGTGAGAAATATGAACTTTTCTTAACCGGGCTAAACATAGATTTTTCTACTTGCTCACCCATAGCAACAATCCTTCTTTGTATGGTTTGATGTGAAAGTGGCACTGATTCAAATTTCTCTACCATTTTAGAATCACCGAAAGCTTTGGCCATTTCAACAGCACATTTTTTTATCAAATTGCCATCAGTTAAAGATTTTTTTGCCTTTGCCAGCTTAAGGGACACGGCATAAGATGCATCCAAAGAACGCGTTTGAGAGTGTAATATTATACTGAACATACCAGTTTGCTGTTTAAGCTTTTTCTTTAAATCTGCAACTAGGGCACGCCGACATTTGTGTACGTAGCATACCTATTTTCATGCACTGTTGTATAATGCCTTCTCACATTATATTCTTTAGGCACTGAAACAACATTCATGCACACTAAGCACTACAACTTTCCAATATTGTTACTTTTAACTTCGGCCCATACTAATTCAATCGGGTTTAGCTCGCAATGATAGGGTGGTAGGCGAAGTATTTCAATTCCTCGTTTTTTGGCTATTTCCTCAATGACGTATTTTTTATAATTTTGTTTATTAATTTTTGGCAAGCTCTAATAATTCTGCTTTTGTCATTGTATCGTCAATGATTAAATTCTTAGAAGTTAGACTTGCATTGTCCATCACAATAACTGAATTTTTAGGTATGAATTCAATCATCTGTTCGAAATATTCTTCAAACACGTCTCCGTTCATCTCGTCGTGATAATCACAGGTCTTTTTTGATTCAAACAAAAGTAAACCCTCCTTAAGAAATCCATTCATACAACCTATATGGGTAACAATTAATCGTCGACCTTTACCTGTTGGTTCCTTGAAACCCGGTGAATATCCTTCCAGAAATGCTTGTCAACATGTTTTTATAGTTTTGTCTTTCCAAACTCTCCCTACAGTATGCCCTTCATTAACCCACGTTTTATCTAAATAATAAATGTTCTTATTTTCTGTCCTCATTTTTTTATTTTTCTGAGGTAGTCTCGTCTCCAACACACAATTTATTCGGAATCGATAAAAATTGACTGTCTGCCCACTTTTTTATACTTAAAGTTGCAACTCATGCAAAACTTTCCAAAGTTTGTCTCTACTTATTGTGGGTAAATCGCGATCGTCGGTAATGGCTTGTAAAACTTTATCTAAAGTTGGTATTTGTTTGTTAAAAAAAAATGAGTGGATCATTCTACTAATTGCATTTTTGAAAGATTCATCCACATTCACTTTCGACAATTTTGGTCTCCTTGGTCTCGGTTTGGGTGAGGTTATACCAGCTGATGTTTTCTCTTTTAAAATGCTATATACAGTTGATTTTGAATATCCCACTACTTTGACGAAATTTCAACTAGACTATCAACAGTATTGAAAGGATTTGGTTGCTTAAAATAATTATAGACGTTAACGATAACACCCTTTTCGTTAAGTGATAAATGATTCAACTTTAATTTTTTAACTGGTGTATACTCAAACGTTAATTCCATATTCTGTAAACTCACTATTCACTTTTGCAAAAAAACAACTGTGTCAGATCTCTTCACTAGCTTATAATCGACAAAACAAAAATGTTCTGATATTAATGAATGACTATTCAAAGACCATTAACCATTTTATTAATCATTGGTTTTCCAAATAAAATCGAAATTTATACTATTTAAGATAACGTTCACATTTATCAGAAACCATCTTCCGCTAATCGACTTTTTCTATCTAAACTATCAAAAGACCTTTAACTAAATACCTATGTATTTTAAGAGTTTCTTTATTTCTTGTTATCCATTAAGATCATTATCATAACGGCAAAAATAACCATAAATAACGTTACTAAAATAAACAGATTTATATAAATATAATATTCTTTGAAAATGGTTTAAATATCTAACCAACCGAAACAAATAATGTAATACCCTTAAAGTACGTCTATGACCAGCTGAGAAACCCTCTCCTACACAGTTCTAACAATAGCAGGTATTTAAATTTTACGATAGCCCATGTGACATGGAAAATTTTTTTTTCTAAATAGTCAAACCCAACATAAAATAAGCTAAAATATTGGCATTGTACGAAAAGCACACGTACTAAAATATGCTTAACAATTTAGTTTTTTTTTCTGAGAATTTACTCTAGCTTATTCTTCAAAAATACTATAGTGTTTAATACAAAAAACAATCATTTTAGTTAAAATTAATTTAGAGACTACAATATATTGTTAACCTTATTATATAAAATAAATAATCGTTTATGCATTACTTTCTTTAGGTTACATAGTGTTAACTTGGTAAATACTCTGTATATTAATGCAAAGTCTGTTATTATATGTAAGAACAAGAATTATGAGAGGAATTCATTCAAACAAGTTTAAATTGATTGGTGATCTAATCCTTTATCACGTGCCTTTGGTGTTCTGGTATGGTAGTGTATTATTATGCAGCCACTATATTCTTCTGGCGTTCACTCCTACAAATATACAGTTTCATCAATTTGGATAATAGAGTTTTATCGTCAGTAATTTAATTATCCAATTATCGCATCATAATACCTGTCACCCTTTGCAAAATATATTTATCCCATAAATTCTAATCTCCGAAACGTAATTATGTCAGTGTTCATCGGGGCTTATTCAATCTCATTTCTATCATAATGTTTTTGAGGTTGATTTAATTGATATGTCAAAATTAAATGCGAATGTTTATATTGTAAATGTTTATGGAATATTGTTATCCAGTTGAATATCGTAATGATATTATCGGAAGCTAATTACCGGTAGGATTTTAATAATGGTATACTAACAATGTTTAATTATGTTTTTTTTAGTTAAAGTTTGAAACCGATCTAATAAGGAATGGAAATATGGATACGTGAAAGATAAACAATAGGAAGATAGCATCCCATTACCGTTTTTAAACTTGCGACCATCATTTAAACTTTGATATATACCTTTATTTAAAAAATTTAAACGAAATATTTCTTTAGTTGCCGTGTCGCCCAGTGCCGGATTTAGTTCATTGACAGTCGAGGGCTAAGTCATACTATAACGCCACTCTCCAGTAGGTATAGATGCGTCTTAGGCAAGGCGCTCACCAACGTGGCAACCAAATGGCGTGGCAATGGCGAACAAGTGTTGTGGTCTTCCAGTGGCAGGTAAAATGTATAAACATATGTAGTCGCACGTGCGACATTTCGATACGTGCGACTACATTATGTTTATCTCTCTCTTCACTCCTGACCCCCCAGGAGGAGTGTAGTGGTCGACGTGATGTCGTGTATTGTCCGTCTCCAGAGATCTCAGTCTCTGGTCATTTCTTTTAATTCATGCATAGGTCTTTGGCATATTCCTGTAATTTGATCTATCCATCTTGTTGGGGATCTTCCTCGTGATCTTTGGCCTTCTACCTTTCCTTGTATTTTGAGTCTTTCCATGTTTTCTGTGTTTGCTCTCATAACATGCCAAAAATATTTTAATTGTTGGAGATGGACTTGACTAGAGAGTCGTTGGCTAACTTTTGGCTCTCTTAAAATTGAATTATTTGTTCTGCGGTCGGTCCAAGGAATTCGTAACATTCGTCTCCAACAGAACATTTCAGTGGCGTCTATCTTTCTTCTCTCCGATTGTCTCAGAGTCCAAGATTCACATCCGTAGGTCAGTATTGGGAATATTAAGCAGTTAATCAACCTCATCTTTATCGCTCTTGAAATTTGACAGTCCTTCCATATTTTGGTCATTTTTGCTGTGGTAACTTTTGCTAGATCACATCTACGTTTAATCTCTTCTTGTAATGACCCTGTGTTTGTGATTAATGATCCCAGATATAAGTATGAGCTCACAACCTCGAACCGGTCAATTGTGGTTATGTGTGGATGATTGTTGTGTAGTCTATCCACTATCATGATCTTTGTCTTTGATATGTTTAATTGCAGACCAAATATTTGACTTTCGTTTTCGATCAGTCGTATAAGTTCTATCAGCTCTGCTTGACTATTTGCAAGAAGGGCTGTGTCATCTGCGAAACGTAGGTTGTTTAGTTTATGATCATTTATTGAGATGCCCTTTTCTCATCCTTCAAGTGCTCTTCGCATAATATACTCCCCATATATGTTGAATAATTGTGGAGATAGTATACATCCTTGTCTGACACCTCGTTCTGGATGAAATTCGTTCGAAAGTGTGTCAAGTACGTTAACTGATCCAGTAGTTTATGTTTATAAAGGTTTAACAATTCTATCTGCCACTGGGACACCACAGCACTCGCTCGCCATTGCCACGCCATTTGGTTGCCACGTTGGTGAGCACCTTGCCTTAGGTTAACAATGCATTAAAACTATTTTAATATTATTACGTAATTTATTACAAATATACAAAAAAGCCACAAAGACACAAACTCACAACTTATAAAGTAAATTAACATAATTATTTACAAACAAATTTTCCTGGACTTCGTACTTGCAAACAGGTCAATGATTTTATTAAAATCTAATTTTGTAAGCAGATCATTATTAGTATTTAAAACAGCGAACGAATTTAATGTTTTTTCCATCATCGAATTTCTCAAATAATTTTTGACCCGTTTTAAAGTGGAAAATGATCTTTCACCAGTTGCGTTAGTAACCATCAACGATAAGAAGATTCTTAGTGCTATTTCTAGGTTTGGGAAGGTTGGAATTATATTATTTTTATGCAAAAGCTCCATCACAAAAGTAGCACTGTGATTTGTTGGATTTTTATACTCAACTTGGCCTAGTAGTGACATTATAAAATGTCTTAATTGAATACACTCACTTGGTAGAGATGTATCCTAGTCATTCGAATAAATATTCACTAATACCGACGCTTTGTCTGAAATCACGTTATCTTCTGAAAGAGGTAGAGAAAATAAAAATAAGAAAGTGATGGCAAGATCTTTATAAGCTTTTCCTCTAGATTTCAGATTATTTGCCAAATAATCAATTGTTTTATACAGCACTTGGTTTCTAATCTTATTTTGCGGTGTAAGGTTCTCTTCTATATCTGCTTCGTCAAACTGTAATTTTCTTTTGCGACTTTTAATTTCTTTGCTGTATTTCGTTTGTTGTGGTAAGAGCTCACCTTTTTTTCAAATAAATTACATTTATTGTAATACAAGAGGCGACTCCGCTGTCACCACTGTAAAGTAATACAAAGCGGGCGTTATGTGAAGGTAGGGAAAACACTGTCACCAAATGTAATACACACACTTTCTGGCTATCACCAGATGTAATACTTTATAGATCCTCAAGGGATGCTAACTCTGCGAGCGGCTGCAAGGAATACTGGTCACACTGGTCTGGAGGGCTGGCTCGTCTTCGTGGATTTACGAGAAGATAAGGGATTTTCGGGATATGGGTAAGGACTCCTAGGTCTCAGGTCCTGTAAAGAGCAGAGGTTATGGGATTACTTTTGAAGCCAGAGATATGCATAAGCAGAATCTCGTGTTCTCCTAGTCTCTAGTGAGTCGGACGAAAGGAACATTAAAAAAAACCAATTAAGAATCTACAATATATTGAATTTACCCTGAAGTTACAAATACAATCGTTAACACGTTATTCTGCGCATCGGGAGACGAGAAGCAAGATAGTGAAGAGTTGACAGTGGTACTAATATAATTACTCAGGTTAGTATATAGAAATCTGTTACCTTATGTGTATTTAGGCTTTCAACCACGACACGTTTCGGTCCTCTGGAACTCGGTCAGTTGAGGATCTCCTCCTGTGTTACGAATTTAGGAGCTGCCACAAAAACTGGACTACACGAGATACTATGCCGGGATGTTAAGCGCTCCCCGGAGAATTACCGACTGCATCGTACCCGACGCTACCGCGTCGAGAGTATCCGGAGCAGGCAATTGATGCCTTCACAGCTCCCGCCGTATCACTCCTACTGACTCGCTATTACTGACTACTCATTACTAACTGCCTTCGCTGACCAAGTTTTCTAGTTTTCATGTCCTGCAAACATTCGTAGTTTTGTTTTGTTATTTCATTCCACGTGTTGGAATGTAACATGCGATTGTGTGTCGTTTCGTTGTATTAATTTCCATGAAGGTCTTCAGATTTCGTAATTCTTAAACATTCGTGCTTGTTTCAAACTAGGTCAAATTGTTATACTTTGTATATTTTAAATGTATAAGTTAACTGTATTAATTATCCCTTATTTAATTTGGAATATATAATAATTATCTCGAATAATTATTATCTTTTCTATGCTACTTAGCCCTTTATTCCAACTCCCCACTCACTTGCTATGTTTACATTACATTATCACGAAGAGACTCGTAAAAATGTTGTAATGAGCCATACAAAGACGAACACGTATGTTAGTCCATATTTGTGCTAGTTCCAGTACTTCGAACTAAAAGGCAACATAAATACCAAATTCTAACGTAGCCATCTTTTCGTGTAAATTATTTGCTTGACAGCGTACTGGCATCTTCTCGTCATCGTTAGCGGATAACTCTAAAAGTGCTTGCTAAACTTTTCGATAGTCTAAGTTTCGGTAGCGTAAGTATCAAGAGGAAAGATAAGCTTCCGTATTAGACGTAGTTTAATGTTTTTACTTTTGACCATATCTTCAGAGATTTTAGTAAGTTTGGCCGTTTTCAATATGGTCATTGTAATTTGTCTTAATATTTATTTTCCACATTATCCATTTCCATTTTCCATTTTTATGATAAGAGAGCCTAAGTATTAAAACGACTTACCACTTCATCCCGCTCAAAAGAAAAATATCTTAACGAAAAACAAAAACAAATTAAACATACAAATTAGTAGAATAAAAAGCATTTAAAACGTATTTAAAACTTAAAATTTTACGTTGTTTGTTTATTTATTCCACCAGTCAGCATGTCTGTACATTGAAAAAAATTATTAAAATTTTGGATATAAAGATATAAAACACAAACCTACGTGAGGTACTTATTAAAAATTTAGCGTGCTTTATATCATACTTTCTTGTTTAAAATTTTTGGCATGTGTCGAGAATTCCACGGAGTGATATTTTGATGATGAGAAAAGAAAATAGCGGTCTATGAACGACTTCAAAACGACACCACATTTTTCTCTACGAGATTGCTTCCGGTTTTATGAACTATATTAAATTTTATAAGATGTAGTTTTTTAACGTTATTATCACAAAGCAGAACTCGGATCGTATGTAAGCATCAAAATTTTATTGGAAGTTGAAAAGTACGCTCAAAGTTTAAACTGTGATATCGTTTTGTACAAGTCATCCAGGAACATTGACCACTGTAACGACTGACTACAGGAGAGAGAAAATAATGAATAAACAATAATATATAGTTATAAATATGTATATATATATACATATAAATATATATATATATATATATATATATATATATATATATATATATATATATATATGTATATATTTATATATATATATATATATATATATATATTATATATATATATATATATAAATATATATATATATATATATATATATATATATATATATATTTGTATATATTTATATATAATAATATCATCTTTTACATAGTAGGAGTTGAAATAATATTTTTATTTAATACAAATTTCTTTCAGACTTTTATTAACTCGTTTCTTGCCCATCTTCATAGCCCATTCCATACTCCTTTTTAAAAAATATTTAGCAACTTTAATGTTCTAAGTTACTTTTAACCTTGCTCTCTTTTTTTCTTTCTATTTTGCTTCACATGCGATGGTTTTTCTTTGCGTGTCCATCTTCAAATATATATTGTACTTTAAACTCCTTTCCAATTTAAGAACTTCTTAATCAACATATTTATTTTTATCTTTATTTGTATTAGACCGACAGTTCGAATTATATACTGCCCTACTAAGAAAGAATCCCGTATCTCCAAAATTTGAAAAATCGAGATTTTTGCACCGTATGAATAATTATGATTTATAGAACATATTTACATAGAGAAAAACTCGTATTTTACATTTCTAAACATTTTATGAAATAAAAAAGATTCCCCGTAAACGCCAAAAATGACTAGTATGCTTAGTATAAACCTGGCATTTACCG